AATAATCAGATTCAGGATTGTGGAGTCTGAATGATATCAGGAAGTTTTTACTGGAGCTCTTTGGTTGTGTCCAGGTGGAAAGCTACATAGCTCCATCCTGGGGTAGGGGGTGGGGTTCCAACTACGTAGAATACAGTGTGTTATCCTCCATGGAGATCATTCACTTTCTACTCAAAGAACAGTGCCTTTGTTCAACATGGCAGCTCTGAGTGTCCTCATAATGCTTTAATTTTTAAAGCTGGGGATACCAGTGTTTATTATGATATTCTCTACACATTTGTATACTTTAAAGTTTTTATAATAAAATATTCTATGAGTTGACATATGAAATTCCAATTTCCATCTATGAAATCCTTTCACTTGTGATCTTGGAAATATCGTTTCTCAAACCTAAGAATTTGATAGTCAAGTTCTACTTTACATCTCTTGTTCTTAGTCTCCCATGCTGGAAGACAGTCACACTTTTTTTCTTGAGTGATGATCTTCATTTTAACAATTTGTTGGCATTGATGGACCAGAAGAATCTCAGAGAGTTAATCATAAGTGTATGATAATGATCTAGCTTCTAATGGAAAATTTGAAGAACTTATTATACATTTACTAAATAGTTTGAGGTCTTTGATTTCTGCTGTCATTACTGCTAAAACTCAGGATCCCAATAGTTGAACAATATGTTTTTTAGTTGATTTTTTTTTAGTACTTTGGTCTGAAATACAATATTTGTTACTAACATTTATTGAGTACTTACTGTGTGCTGGGCATTGTTCTAAGTGCCTTATATTCATACTTCATTTAAACCTTACAGTAACTTTAAATGCTAGTTTTATCTCTATTTTAGGTACTATTGTCATTGGTACAAATCCATATACATAGGGGGTCTGCAGCAACCTCAATTCTTGCCTCCTCAGAAGAAAGAATTTGATGGAGGAGGTATAAGGCAGAAGAAGACAGGCAAGTTTTAGAGTAGGAGTGGAAGTTTATTAGAAAGCTTTAGAACAGGAATGAAAGAAAGTAAAGTACACTTGGAAGAGGGCCAAGCGAGTGACTTGAGAGATCAAATGCATGACTTGGGGTTTTGTATGTTGGCATGCTTCTGGGGTCTTGCTTTACTTCTTTGATTCTTCCCTTGGGGTGGGCTATGCACAGTAGCTGGTCAGCACTTGGGCGGGGCTGCATATGCAGTGTGTTTACTGGAATTGCATGCATGCTCACTTCAGGCATTCTTCCCTTACCAGTCTAGCATTCCCAGAGGAAAGTAATATATCCTACCATTTTGCCTCTTACCAAAATGGTAGTTAAACCCTACCATTTTGCCTCTTAGTGCACATGCTTGAGCCCACTCGCCCAACTCCTAAGATCTTATTGGGAAGCTGCTGATCACCAGTTTCAGGTGTTTTCTATCTATTAGGAGACAGCTTTCTCTGGTGCCAGCTGTGACCAATTACTATTTTAGAGAGACAGCTGACAACCACCTGACCATCACCTGATGGTAGCCTGACACTTCTGTTATGTGTTTGGAGAATGGGGGAGCCTACTCCTGTCCTGCTCATGCCTGACTAGCTACCTACTGCAACAGTATTTTTGTCTCCATTTTACCAATTAGAAAAACGTACTATAAGGTCACATGGCCAAAAAGTGATAAGGCTGAATCCTGGTTTAGCTGACTCCAGAGCTTGTGTCAATGTTTCATCTCTAAAATATACTTGCTTCAGTTCTCTGTGATAACTTCTCTCTCAGATGCTGTAGAAGTGTTTTCTCCTTTTCCTCTTTACCCCTGTGCCTCACCCCAGATTTTTGCACCTCAAGTGTTTGATACCCCAGGAGATATACTTTTGATCAAGGGAGGAAAGTCATTCCAGAATATCAAGTTGAAGGTTAGTCAGTTGTTGTAAAGAGAAAATTCTAATGTTACTCTGGAATTCAGTAACATTTATACACACCCACACACATTCACATTATCTTCAAAAGGAGAACTTCTAAGTGTTAATTTCATATTATTCACTTAGTCTGGTGAATATAGCCTTTAAAAAACTCCCAATCTATCTCTCATTCTGTTTTGTGGTTTCTACAGCTGATTGATCACTTCGGAAATTACTCCCCAAAGCTACATTAAGGAGCCCACCTCAAACATTACCATCTAGTGGAATTGTCAGAGACAAAAACTTCTGGCAAGTAGCTAAGTGTATTCATGGAAATATTATGTTTTCAAAAACAAACAAATACAAGCAGTGAAACCTTGCTTCCTGGGTCAAGAATTTGAGTTTTTTTGTGTGTGTTTTTGTGGGTGTGGGTCAAAGGCTGTCTCTTTTAATAGTTCATCTTAGAAAGATTAAAAATACTTTCTCTGAATGCTGACAGAGAAGGAAAACTCACAGAGGCCCTTTACCCTCAACCCTGGCCCAACAGCAGCAGTGGGGCGGGGCCGGGGGTAGGGATGGGTTGGCGGGGTTGAAGAGGAGGGGGGTGCGGTTAGAGCTTGCTGTAGCAATGACTTGATTACATAATGCCTCCCATCTGTCCACAGATGTGTGAGTTTGCTCAAATGTTTTATTAGAAGTTTATTACATTTTCTTATAATCCCAGCCCATCTGCATTTGCTAGCCTATTTGCAATTTCTAAAATACTTAATCCATTTGCTATTCAGTAAACGGAGATATGAATTGAGACATGTTCTGTAAGTCCCTGGTGTCATTTTGGTGATAACACATGTTCCATGGATATAATAAATAAGATTGATAAAGTAGGCCTTGCAAGCCTCTTGATGATAATGATGATGATGTTGATGCTGGTGATATCTCTCTGGATCAGTTCACTGCCAAAGGCTCTAAATGAGAGTCAGTATTCTGTGCTGGTAACATTAATCCTACTTCAATCCACCCATAATTTGATCTACAAGGAGAGAAAACAGAAGAATAACAACAAGAGCAAAACAAAACAAAAACAATTCACATAGACTTTATGTAAATTTTTAAACTATAGATCTAAATATCTATATCTAACTATATGTAACCCCATCAATTTTTTGGCCTTGAGAGAATTGGACCTAAGAGTTTTATCATTCTGCCACCAATAACAGCACCTTTTCAATCTGAGTGGTTGCTATCACTTATAGTTTGGCATTGCCCAGTAATAGAAAGTGGGACTCTTTATTTCTATCCAAGGGAAAAACACTATGTCTATCTTGCTGACACCCCAGCTCCCAGCATGGTGCTGAGCATGTGGTAGGTCCTCAATAAATATGTCCTGAATAGATGACAGAACAGATATAGATTTGTATTGGGTGTGTCTTTTCCAGCTGGTTCATAGTTACTGAATGATTACTGACTAAATAGATTGTTAGTTTAATGTCGACTTTATATTTCATGGTAGAATTTTCATTTGTCAGAACCACTATTTGTCATGAGAAATTCAATCTTGGAACTCCTCTGAGATTCTGAGAAAACTTTCTATTGCATATTAGCGATTCCATGCTGGATAATAGTGGCTTTCATAGGCTGAATTATTCATGTGGTTGTGTACTAAAGGTTGGTAATTTTCATCTTTTGATTTAGGAGTAGGATCTCTAAGAGACCAATTTTATTCCTTAAACTGAGAAAGGTTTGGGGTTTTTAATATCTAATTTTGGCAGCCCTCTGTCAATGAATAGAGTTTCTCTTCTTTCCCAGTCTCATAAGCAACTGTTCCATTCACATGCCATTTGTGCATATAATACATTTTCAAGTTGTTTATTCCAATACAAAATGCGTTTCACATATATTGAAAGGTCAAAAAATAGTGTCCTCTCTTTTATATTTTAGCATGTGCAGAATTTATTGTGGTGTTATTATGTGATTTCATTTCATTTTTATTTAAAAGGAAAACAACAACATTGAAGACATCCTGAAATAGCATTCATTTGGCAGGTAGGTCTCTGGCTTTCTGGTTCTGATTCCATGCTTAGCTGTGCCAAATCCAGTCAGAAGAGGAGAAATGGTTTACAGGTGTCATGGAATTCCATGGTTTCACTTGCAATGGGTAACCTTAGGAAGGAGAATTTCCATATATGACGCCAATGTTGATTTGTCCAAAGAAAGCATCCCCAAGTCTCAGACTGAAAATAAGGTATTTGGTTGTATGAGAGGATGAGCCCAGCAGTTGGTAACCCAGCAGGAGATTCTTCCCTGAGAAATTGTGATTATTTTCACATGTAAGAAAAGGGACAAATGAATATCATTTTCAAACCTCTGTCTGACTAAACACACCAACCAGAAATGCATCTACCTACATCATTTTAAAAGAAATTCAGTGGGGCTTTGACAGCATTGACCTTCTTTCACTGGATGTTTCTCACACTTACTTGCTCTCTGTTTTCATGTTTATAAAATGTGTTCCCAAGCCCTTTAAGATAAAATCAACAATAGTGCCTAGGGCTCCAGAGAAAGATTCCCAGTGGGAGGGTCTGGGCCTTTTGTTCCAGAGAATCTAATAGAGTGTGAAACTGACACAGACATGGGAAGATCATTCAGCTAAAATTAAAGTCTTTGTTCCTTCATTAGTTGAACTTGAACTTCACATTTCTGAAGTTCTGCTAGGTTACTTTCTCTAAAGTTCTGATTTAATCAAGGTGAACAGGGAAGCTCATTAAAATCTATTCTCCCTCTCTCTTTCACTTTTAAAAAGAGATTGCAAAAATCCCTTTTTTTTTTTGGTATAGTGAATGTTCTTGATTCTTTTCTCGATGTAAATTTTGGGAAGTTAACCTGAATCTCACATATATATTTTTCATAATCATTAAAAAGGGTTTTTTCTTTTTAAAGTCTGATGGAGACTTTATCAGTTGATTGACTTCCTCAGTCCCGTTGGGAAAGGTGAAGGGTCAACAGCCAGGCCTTTAGGTGATTAATGAGCTAATGTGATTACATAAAATGTATTTTTATCACCTTTAGTTTGGGGGAACTATTGAAAATGAGAGTAAACCTTAGACTGTAAATCTTTATCATTGATCTTTCTTTTTTCTTCTTCTTCTAATTACATTTATTTTAATGCTGAATTTACTTCCTGTGCCATAAATTTTTGTTTCTTCAGTTTCTTCTGGGACATCTTTTTCTTCTGGGCAACCTCCTCTTCTGGTTTAGGAACAATCTGTTCCTTTTCAGTAAGAATCATCTCAATGTGGCAGGGAGAGCTCTTGTATGGGTTAACCCGACCATGAGCTCTGTAGATCCGTCGGCGCATCTTAGGTGCTTTGTTCACTTGGATATGCTCAATGACCAGAGAATCTACATCTAAACCCTTAAGTTCAGCATTATTCTCTGCATTTTTAAGCATGTGCAGCAAAAATTCAGCACTCTTTTTGGGCCACGGACCTTGTGTCCAGCCCCACTGCTTGGCCTGGGCACACCTGCCAACTCCACCATTGTAATGTCAGAATGGTACACACTGTTTCTGTAAAGTGACATCTTTCAGATACTTCGTGTTCATCCCCCACATTGGTGGCATCTTTCCCGTATTTCTTCCTGATGACATTCTTCAGGTTGTGGTAAACCTCGGCTCCAATGCGCATGGCTTCCCTGAAGTTTGCTGCACCAACTGGGAGGATCATGAACTCTTACATGGCCAGCTTGTTGCCGGCATGAGAACCGCCATTGATGACATTGAAAGCCGGGATTGGCGGGATGACTTCAGAGTTGCCAGCCAAGTCAGCGATGTGGCGGTACAGGGGAACCCCCTTCTCAACGGCACTGGCTTTGCAGATGGCGAGGGACACCCCCAGAATGGCGTTTGCACCAAACTTGGATTTATTTTCTGTTCCATCCATCTCGATCAGCAGTTTGTCAATCTTCTCTTGTTCTGTGACGTTCAGTTTCTTGCTAACCAGGGCAGGCGCAGTAGTTTTAACCATGTGCTCAACAGCCTTTGAGATACCCTTCCCCATGTAGCGAGTCTTATCATTGTCCCGGAGCTCTAGGGCCTCATAGATACCAGTTGAAGCATCACTGGGCACAGCAACTCTGAAGACACTTTTTGAGGTGAAGAGATCAACCTCAACAGTGGGATTCCCAGGAGAGTCAAAGATCTCCCTGGCATGGACCTTGAGAATAGGCATGGTGAATTTCTAGCCGCTGGGTCTCGTGGCCTAGGAGAGGAAGGGGAGGGTGCAGCAGACACCGAAGTAAGAGTGAAGCCAGCGAGGTCTGTATGCTCCGGGTCCCTACAGCTACATTGATCTAACTTTCATGTCATAGTTACTATATCTTTTTTTTTAAATATGAGCTAATATCTCACTTTCTTTACTTAGCAGGAAAAAGGTGAGAAAATTAAAATAAAGCAAAACCTTGGGATTGAGAGTATGCAGATAAGTGGCTCTAATATTTCTTTGATCTTGATAATACAGTTAATTCTTTTATATTCCTAATTGGCAGTAGGAACTTATTGCCACAAGCCTGTGAAACTTTGTTGGATTCTGATACAATTCTAACTAGCACATTGATTTTTTTCTTCTTTTTAAGAATGTAAACTTTTCCCCTTTCTCCTTCCCTTAGTGTTGCAGTCATAAAAGTATGTGATCTCAAGTCCTTCTCTTTGATCTTTCTAAATGAAGAATGGCATGGAAAATTAAAAAGTAGCCCAATAAACTGAAAATAATTTTTTCATATTTCTTGAGGTTTTATTATATTCTTATTGTATCCTTTGTATGATACAGAACTAACTATATTACTTAACTCTGGATGTGCAACTCTAGCTACTGACCACAGAAGGTCATAAAGCTTCAATAAGACCCTTATTTGATCAGAGCAGATGTTTAGGGTAATGACAGTGAATAGGGGAAATGAATAATGAATATGCCTTTGGGTAAATTAGCATCAAATTCAGGTTTTATAAGTTTAAGTTTATATATATAAATGCTGACTTATCCCAAACCAAAAACAAACAATACAAAACAAAAACTTGCAGAAAATGCTTGGAGGATACCTCGTATGTGCAGAGCCCGTGGAAGAGTAATGGAATGAAAAGATGAATGGAGCATCAAGTCTGATCTTAAACAGCTAATTTTTAGTGGGGAAGAGACACTGGCTTATAAACAGCCATAGCTGGATGCACATGATTCAGTTTTCCTTTCTTAGAATTCTTTTCTGATTCTACACAGACGGTCACAAATTCAGATGCCTACAAGGAGCAGGCAGGTAAATACAATTAGTGAAGACAATGAGAAAGGTGGCTAATTGAAGGACACATGGTCATTCTAAAGGTAGCCACTGCTTTTCAGCTCCAGTTATTGCTGAGTGGCAACATGAGCCCAGTGTTGCAATTTCTTTTAATTAATTTTCCAAGAGAAGTTGAATTTGATTTTTTGGGGTGAAATCTCCCAATTTTTAAATATTGGCAGATAACATCGTTTTAAAAAACACTGTACAGGCCAAATAAAACTCTGGGAAAAACAGGCAACCATTTGTGAGTACTGCATTTCCCCCACCTTCTGGTTAGCCTTATCCATTCTCATGGGCTTTATACCTATAACTTGCAAATTACGTATCTCACAGTCACCATGGATGGTAGCTGATTTTTCCTTTAAGATCAGATTTTATGCTCTATTCATATTTTCATTCCCACAGTACTTTGTCATGGGCTCTGCATTTATTAGGTATCCTCTTAAACATTTTCTGGAGGTTTTTATTTTGCTTTGTTTTTGTTTTGGGATAAGTCAGTGTTTGTACATAAAAACTTTATAAAATCTGAATTTGATGCTAATTTATCCAAAGCTTTTGGAAATATCTCTCGCTCTCTGTGCTGTTATAACTTCCTGCTCTTAGGAAGTGTTGGTTCAAGTGACAAATATGTGGAGCTGATCTGCAAGAAGTGTATGCAGGATATAGACAGCATAGACTGGAGACTTGTGTGCATTTGCAGTTCAAGGGTAGAGCACTGACCTCAACCCCAGCTTTAGCTCACAGGACTTGACCTGCTGCTCCACGTACTGAGGAAAGGTTGGTATTTTCTCTCTCTGTTTTTGTCCTCTCTCTGTCTTTTTTTTTTTATCTTTTCAAGAGCCAGTCACAGAAGAGTCATTTTTGCCCTGGGCTGGCAATTCTTTAAGTGCCTTTGACCAAGGCATGTGTATTTTCATGTTTAGAACATATGTATTTCCCTCAATTTTTTCCTACATGCTGCATTTTCTTGACTCCTCAAATTCCTCAGAATTTATAGTCAGTAACTTCTAAGTCTTCATCCTTCACTATTTGTTTGAGTTCTAGGCCTGCTGCACAATCTGTAATTGAACATGTTCAAAATGGGATTTAAAAAATTTCTCTCTCCGTGATGCTCCTTTGGCATTCTCTCCTCAGTGATTTTTATCACCATCTCCATTTGTGCAATCAAGAAATACTAATCCCAGATTGCTTTCTCACTTTTATACCTAATCAGTCAATAGCTCCTGATGATTCTACTTTCAAACCTCACCTCTGTCCTCTACACCCTGTGCCACTCCCTGAATTCAGACTTCCATCATTTCTTGCCTGTACTGTTGCCAGCTTGCACCAGTCATTTCTCCAAGCAAGCTGTTCTATTCTCTGCCACCAGGACTTCTAAAATGCGATTTTTCACAGTGTTTTTTCTTTGCTTAAAAACTTTTAGTGGCAGATCCTTACAGTTTTAAAAAACAAATTCCCTGGCATGGACTACATCTTGATCTCAGCCTTCTTCAGTTTTATCTTCCATACCTTAACTATGTATCTTGCTACATGTACAATTTCTTTTCCGTAAACAAACCAGGCAGTTTTACTTTTCCATGTTATTGGACCTGCTATCCCATTGCCTGAAAGGTTCTTTGTGTCTGTGGAGACACTTGGGAAGAATAATTTCTTTGAGAAAGCCTTAGAATTCCTCAGGAGATTTAAAAGTTTTCTTCTCTGTATTGCCATACTACCTGTCACATACCTCTATTATTGGATTTGATGTATTATACTTTTTATAACTACATCAGTATCTTCACGACTGTGCTGTATTAACCTTTTGGTGAGAGATCAACTTATTTAAGAATCTGATAAAAACTATAAACTCCACTTCCCCAGAGGAAAAACACTTGAGAAGACATGTTAAATCTCACATATAATTTAAAATAATTTAAGATCTCTTTAAAGTCCATCTGTGGGCCCCAGATTAAAAGACCTTATACAGAAGATGAGTCCTTCAAGGGCAGAAAGGACCACATTGTTTCCATCTTTTTAGTATGCCTAGTAAGGATTGTTAACAGTTATCACAATAATACTGCTTAACAAACCAGCCCAAAACTTAACTGCTTAAAATTGTAACCATTCATTTAGCTCAAAATTCTATGAGCTGCTAATCTGGTCTGGGCTCAGTTGGGTGGCTCTTCTGCCCTTGGCTGGACCTCTGCATGCATCTGCTGTTAGCCACATGCAGATTAGGCAACTCTGTTCAGGACATTTTTTGGGGGGAGGGGTGGGGTGGGACGGGATTTCACTCTTCTTGCCCAGGCCGGAGTGCAATGGTACGATCTCAGCTCACTGCAACTTCCACCTCCTGGGTTCAAGCGATTCTCCTGCCTCAGCCTCCCAAGTAGCTGGGACTACAGGCATGTACCACCACACCTGGCTAATTTTTGTATTTTTAGTAGAGATGGGGTTACTCCATGTTGGCCAGGCTGGTCTTGAACTCCTGACCTCAAGTGATCCACCTGCTCGGCCTCCCAAAGTGCTGGGATTACAGGCATGAGCCACCGTGCCCCACCTGGGACATTCATTAGTAATCATCTAGAACACCTCAGCTCTCTTGCATGTAGTCTCATACCCATCCTGGACTTATTCTGTGGGTTAGTGAGTTTTCAAGGACATATGGTGGAAGTAGACCTAGACTGGAACTGACACATTATCACCTCTGCCGTGTTTTATTGGCCAAAAAAAAGTGCCAAAGTTAGTCCATATTCAAGAGATGGGAAAATATACTTCACTTTCTAATAAGAGGAACTACAAAGCCACATTGCAAAGAGCATGTCGATATAGAAAACAGGGCCATTTTTGCAATCAATCTGCCATAGAAGCATGTAGTATACTCAAATAGTTGTTGAATACAAGTTTTTGGAAGTGAACCCCAAATTACAGAGAAAACTCAGATAAAATGAAAGAAGAAAGGAAAGACATTCTAAATAATGGGAATGATGTAGCTATTTTGTGATAAAAATTTTTTTCCTTCTGCAGTGGTTTTACATGAAGGGAGGGATCAAATGACAAAAAGATTAATACAGTGTTTATGTATGTGATTGTTTGTTTACTTAAATGTGTCCCATCATATTCCAAAACAGATTCAAGAAAACTTAGTGATGAAAGCATAAGTAGTTTAAATATTCTAAGAGAAAATCTATGTGTACAGCGTTACTTCACTATCAAAATGTTATTCTTGACTGTAGATACATACTTAGAATTATCTCCTGGATGGCACTTAAGGACAGTAGAGCTACATAATATTCCTATGAATAAAATGAATTGATCTCATTACTCTAAGGAAGAACTATACCTACATAATTTCAATGGATGAGAATTACTCTTGTGGCTTCTTGCTTCTACTATAAAGAAAAGCCTTTCTCATATATAACCTTGGTCTTCCATATTGCAGATTTAGACCATTTGCTTTTTAAACCAAAGTTTATAGATTTCTCCCTAACTGGTTTCCAAGACATTTTATATCCATATTAATAAACATTTTTATGTATGAACAAAATTAATTTGTTTGTGAGTTATATGCATATGCTATGTACCAATATATTATGCACTTTATAAGACATTTGTAAGATAGAAAATAACATAGGCTTAAAATAGATGAAAGAAAGAATACTCTAAGAATTATTTTGCTTATGATACCTAGCTCTTTTTGCTCTCATTTGTGAGAGTTGTATGATTTAATATGCTTCAATATGTTTTTAAAATCCTAGTTTAAAACTCGATTTTAACGAATTCACAATCTGACAATTTTTGAATTTCGATTGCCGTATCTTAAAAAGATCCCTTGGAAGTATTTTTAGATCTGAATGGAATCTACAAATGGAAGGAATGAAGGAGTGGAAGGAACCCATCATTGACTAGGCTTACTAAATCATGATGGTCATTTCTCTAGTCTATATTTCAATTATGCAGAAACTTTTGTTGAAATTTGGATAAAATTTTTTATCTTCTCTGATGTTAACCACTTGTTCTTACAAATAATTGGGAGTTGCTTGTTACTGGTTTACCAACTGAATTCAAAACCATTAAAACTCTTTGATAAATTATTAAATAGCTTAAATGTTCCATTTCTAAGTGTAAGTGTTCAGTTAGGAAAAGTTTTATAGGGCTGCATTTGTATAATTATCAGCAACAACACACATAGTGATGGAAACACTTTAAATATGTTTTCAAAATGTTCTCAGCATAGCTTGAATTTCTTTCAAAGAACAGTTACTTTAAATTCATTGTGAAAATATCATCTTTACCTTGAAAGTAGATGGTGTGTGTGTGTTTCTTGTGTTTTAAAAGTCAGCAAACTCTGAGTTATAGAAAATATTTTCATCATTGCTCCATATCTCAATATCCAACTGTAGACTCCTCAACATTAAAACAATTAATTATAGTAAAATACTCATAATACACATTTACCATTTTATCATTTTTTAAATGTATAGTTCATTAATGTTAAGTACATTTACATTGTTGGATAACCAATCTCCAGAATTATATGGATCTTGCAAAACTGATACCCTATACCTATTAAGCAACTGTCCATCCCTCCTTCTCCCTAGTCTCTAATAACTACCCTTTCATTTTCTGTCTCTGTGCATTTCACTACTATAGGTACTCATATAAGTGACATTATACACTATTTTTTGTTATTGGCTTATTTCATTTAGCATAATGTCCTTGAGGCTCATCCATATTATGGCATTTGTGAGAATTTCCTTCTTTTTAAAGGCAGAACACTATTTCATTGTATGTATATCTGAATCACATTTTGCTTATCTGTTCTTCTGTTGATGGACACTGGGTTGCTTCCACCTTTTGGCTTTTGTGAATGATGGTGCTATGAACATGGGTGTACAGATATCTCTTCAGGACCCAGCTTTCAGTTATTTTGGGTATATACCCAGAAGTAGAATGTGTGCATCTTATAGTAATTCAATTTTTAATTTTTTGAGGAACTACCATTTTGTTTCCTATAACAACTATACCATTTTATATTCCCACCAATAGTGCACAAGAATATACTAACTCCAGATCCTTGCCAATACTTGCTATTTTCTGTTTCGTTTTTTGATAGTAGTCATCCTAGTGAGTATTGGGTATTTGACTTCCCTTTATTTGAAGGTTCTAGTTTTTCTAAAATTAAACTTATGAGTGACATTTTGTAGCATTTTGTTACAATAGCTTGCCTATGAATGGTGAAGCAAAAAGATTTCATTAATGCTGCCTCAGTAAACTTATTCCCAAAACCTTTTAAAACATTTCATCGAAGTAGTTGCTCCATCACTGATACACTTACACAATTTTCTTTCAAAATATTGTTTTTGCTAGATTGAGTATTGCTGCTGTAATGAAAACTGCATCAGGATAAGGAGCAGGTGCACTATAAATATTAGTTGAGTGATTTTTGAGAAGACACATTCTTTAGTACATATCTTTCTGTGGTACATGCACAGGTATATGTGTGCACACACACATGCACAAATAGTTATATATTTAACCATTGAAACAGGATCTAGAAAATACCATAAGCTGAGATACATTAGAAACCTGTACTTTCATTGATCTGTAAATCAACCTCCCAACACTACAAAACATATTTTAATTATTTCTTAAAACTTCAGCTTTTTTTTTTTTTTATATTAACAGAGGAATACAATTTTGTTGCCAGATTTTTTTTTTTTTTT